CACATAAAGTGAGTTTACTGAAAAGGTGTAAATTGTTAGTATTATCCTTTCATTAAACTGTCGCTTCTGAAAACGAGATAACAGTTTCATGGCTACCTGAAAATCCAGCTGGCCAAGCCTGTTCAGCAAAAAGAAAAAGAAAAAGTACATACTGTTATCCACTTACATTTCAGTACAGATAGCCTATACTTGATCATGATTCACACAGGTTGCAGAGCGTGTTTGTTCTTCACTAGGAGGGCTCATAGTGCCTCTTTTGTGAATAAACTTTTGTGTCTACTCCCTTGAGTTGCTAACAAAAGCGCCAGACTGCAAACTTATCTGTGATAAAGCATAGAAATGTCGATTGCTTTAAGCATTAGGAAAGTAAAAAAAAAAAAGAGAAATGAGACGTATTTATTTACTTTCAAAAGGAGGCTTTTTTCCTATTGGCTGCTAAATGCTCAAAATAAAAAATAGCATGTGACAAAAAAAAGGACATGAAATACAATATTTTATTTGGTCTATCATACATCATTTTCTATTGATATGCTCTGTTTCCAGCAGAACGCTTAACGTATCTTAGCAATGCTACCATGGCAGCCGGTGTAATACCTTCAATACGTTTTGCAGCTCCCTTAAAATAATCAGTGCTTTTTCCAATTAGTTTAATCATTTGTATATTTACCAGTGTCTCAGGACGAACCATAGATAGTTTCTGGCGGGCTTCAAATGAAAGTTCATGTATTCTATTTTGATAAAATAAGTAATCTTGTCGTTGTTTTCTCTACATTATATTTATTACTTGTTGTAATCCAAGTTGATATCTAATTTGAGATTCTCATCTCGTTTCAAAGATTCGATCTCATGTTGCTGTTTTCTTAAATATGGCTTATATCGTCCTACAGCAAGCATACACATGTTAATCAATATATACGGATGACCTATCTAGTAATCCACCTTCAATCAAAACGCGTTCTTTTAATCTAGGTTCCAAATGTGCTAATTCAGGTAAAGCTTCACAGAAATGATCCACAGTGATATTTGGCCACATGAGTACATCGATTCCACTACAATAGTCATTTAGACACGATAAAATAGGTTATATATTGACATTTACCTTTTGTGTATTCCATTACTATTTTCAAAGCTTACGTCTGGACCACTGACAATACCATACTCTGCCCACCTGACAGGAGACATTTTAAGATTTTCAAGAGAATAAATCGCGTTTTCTAATGCTTTTGAGCTGCTCTGGTGTTGCTCCCATCTCTCTTTTCCAACAGCGCCTGCTTCATACCCTTTCTTTGTGAGTCTAGTATCGGCATTATCTGCTCGTAATAGTAATCGGTATTCAGATCTCGCTGTGAATACTCTATAGGGCTCCTCCACGCCCTTTGTGATCAAATCGTCAATCAATACGCCGATATAAGCATCTGCTCTGCTCAACACAAACGGTTTCTTGTTTTGTGCATGTAAGCCAGCATTGATGCCTGCCATGATTCCTTGTGCTGCTGCTTCCTCATATCCTGTTGTTCCATTAATTTGTCCAGCCAAGAATAAACCACTAATGCGCTTCGTCTCCAATGTTGACCTTAATTCTCTAGGATCAATATGATCATACTCGACACCATAGGCTTATCAGAAGAGGTTAGAAAAAACATGGTAATATTGATATGTGAATCATGTTATCAAACCTGGTTTGAGCATCACTACTTGTTCTAAGCCTCGAATCATTCTCAAGAAATTCAATTGAATATCTTCAGGCATCGTGTTGGATATTCCATTTGGATAGACCACATGGGTATCAAGTCCTTCTGGCTCCAGCCAAATGTTGTGTGATTCTTTTGCTGTGAATCGTTGGATTTTGGATTCAAGGGATGGACAATAACGTGGTCCCTTTACGGTCTCTCTGATATGAATGCTTTGATCAAAGTGATCAGAAATATATTTGTGAACTCGAGGATTTGTACTCGTTTGATGGCAGAGTATTTGTTGATCCTATTTTAAAGAAGTTTTAGCTATATTCGAACGGACACTGCTACTGAACTTACTGCATAGGGTACTGTCTTATGAAGATAAGAGAATGGAGATGGAGGGTTATCCCCCACTTGCTCTAGCAATCCGCTGTAATTAATTGTTCTTCCATCAAGTCTCGCGGGTGTGCCTGAATTGAGAGAAAAAGTTAGTAGCTTTCTTGTTAAACCCTTTTCCATACCTGTCTTTAGTCGACCCAGTTTAAATCCTGCAGATTTTAGTGATTTTGAAAGTGCTACAGATGGGTTTTCTCCAATTCTACCCGCTGGCCATGCTTTTAAACCTATATGCCTCAACCGTTATTCTTCTCCTTCCAACTTCATCTGCAATAAATCTCACCTAAATGAATTTCTCCTCCCAAGAAGGTTCCGGTTGTTATAACCACATTAGGTGCTTTGATCACTTGTCCATTCTCTAAATATAAAGCAGATAAGCACATTGGTTTAAGAAAAACATGTATAATGACTTGCCCAATCGAACGCCTTTTACCAGCTGGGAAGCGCCCTTCTGGACCATGTGTACATATTCTTCTTCTGTCATGCCGTCGTTTAGTATAAGATCAGCTACACTTCCAGCTTTGATTGTCAAGTTGGGGTAATTTTTTAAATATTCATGCATATGCTTCTTGTACAGTTTACGGTCTATCTGGGCTCGAGGACCCTTGAAAGCAAAGTTAGCAGGACATAATATTGTGATTATAGATATATACATAAACAGCAGGTCCCCTTGATTTGTTAAGTACTTTAAATTGGATACCAGCCAGATCTAATAGAGAAATAGTTTAGACATGTACCATTCAATGGTGAATCTAACAATACCTGAGATACGTCCACATACACCATCAAGTGCATCAATCTCTCTAACCAAAACACCTTTTCCTACACCACCAAACGAAGGATTGCATGACATCTCACCTTTTTTTGAAGCAGGTTAATTAAACCAAAATCACATACTTTTTTTTTCTAATGCTTTACCAATCGTATCAATATTTTGTGTCAACAACAATGTCTTTGCCCCTGTTCGAGCAGCGGCTGTACATGCTTCAGTACCAGCATGACCACCTCCAATAACAATAACGTCATAGTCTCTAACTGTCGAGGTTACAGTAGCCTGTCGAATAACACAAGAGCTGTGTAGTGATCGTGCATTCTTTATGGTATGTATTTTGACAGATCTTAATCGACTGTACATTTTATAGATAAAAAAAAAATCGAGATTATTAAAAAGGAAATTTTATTATTAAATCAGTCCAGCTCTTCGATTTCGTTCATATTCTGCTTGATCCATTAAAAGTATAGGCGCAGGTAATGTCGAGTAGGAAGGAGGGGATTGTGTTGGAATAACTTGCGTCTGTGAAGGTATGGGTATTGCTGCATAATTGCTATTTCGTTGTACGTGATGAATCAGCGGTGTGTTATCGTCGTGTTCATCATCACCAGTATTATATCGACTGGATGATGGAGTGATAAATCCTGTGGGTATACTTCTAGCAGCCAAACTGCTTGTTTCTCCTCCTCTCTCTAATAAAAAGGAACCAGCCTCAAAACCATAGGCGGGAGGAGGTGCCAAAGTGCCTTGTACGGGTGCTAACCCCCACTTTTTGACATTGGCTTCCACAAACACAAAACCTACATATATAAATGTTGTTAATATTTAATACAATCTATTTAAACCTCTTGTTGTTCTTTACCCATTTGACCAAGATTAACATGGATTTGACATGGTCCATTAGCTCCGATCGTAGGAAATAAGTTGTAACGTAGGCCGAAGCATGCTTCATCTAGCTTTCTACCGTTCTTTGTAAAAAAGATAGTGCCTGTTCGAGGGCGATATCCAACACCGATGACGTCTCCTTCTTCGTATCTAGAGTTGTAGGGTCTACCAAAAAACGGGTTGTTGAAATGTTTGTTTCCTGTATCACTAAAGTAACCAATAGAGTGCTTATTCCAACCTACATGATCTCAGTTTTGGATATATGGTCTAAATACACGCAACTTACCAGGTAGTCTCCATGATGGATATGGTTTAGTAGCTACGCCCACAGAGACAGTTGTTGTTAGTGGCTTTTCAAACATCTTGGCTTCCCAGTAATAAACTTCCTGATTTCTTGGTAAGGGCAGGTTGGTCTGCACGCAGCTCTCACCAGAAAAGAATTGAATCTCTGTTCTTCCTGAAACAAAGCTTTGCGTTTCCATATCACACACAAATTCAAATGCTGAGATACCCTTTTCTTGTATACTGACATACTGAGACATGGTTATATCGGTGGGTACACTTTCCGGTGGGTGTCTTTGCTGAAAGGCTAGCTTATTGTTTTAGTATGTATGTATATTCCGAACATACACCACATGTGCACACCCTCTTACCTTTAGCTTGTTCATAGCTTATTCTTGCGTCCTCCGATAAAGTTGCTAGTAATGCGGGACATTCTACAAATTCGTCTTCAAAAAATGAATCTTGACCATAAAAGAACCTTTCTCCACTTGCTTTTGTAAAGCATAAAAGAATAAAAATGACAAGCAAAAATACAAAAACACCCACTAATAATATCCAAGTGTAATTGGCATCTATTTCCAACATGATTGAATAGAAAAAAAAGATTGTTTGTTTAATAGAGTGTAATCGAGACTCTTTTATTATTTTTATTTTCAGAATTGGTTGTACAACGAATCTGCATTTTTCACTGCTTCTTCTGGTTTATCCTTGTAATAGACAAAATGACCTTGTAGACTAGCTGTGCTCACATTCTTTCCTTTGATCTTTTCTACAAATTCATTTGCAAGTGCTTCGTTATCATAGAATCGTTTAAACATGTTGCGTATTTGGTATTCTGATGCATTTCCAAAGAACTCCTTTAGATCAACTCTACCTGGTCTGATAAGTGCTGGATCTAGTTTCTCAACATGATTTGTTGTTAAAAAGATGATACGTTCTTCAGCTGAAGCAACACCGTCTAGAGCATTAAGTAGACCACTAAAGGTGATCATCGATTGGTATCCTTGGTTATCTGTCTGTGATCGTTTGGTGAATGCTGCGTCTATATCTTCTAATAACATAATACTTCGTTCAGGCACATTGCTTAATAAATGGTTCAGTCGGTCATCTGTCAACCCTCTTTCAGATAAATTGAGTATACAAATGTTATATTCCAGTTCTCCCTATATGTTTATATAATTATATCTTTTCTCCTTCTTTTCTTTTTCTCTTTATTGACTTACTGCTAAAGCTTGGATAAAACTACTCTTACCAGACCCAGGTGGTCCATGTAATAGATATCCTCTTCTATAAGGTATTCCCCTTTCATTATACCATTTTCCATTATTAATAAATGCCTTCACATCATTTACAATACGCTCTTTAATTCCTTTATCCAGAATCACAGATTCTAGCATTCGTCTTCTTCTAGGCATGCCAAAAGGTCGCCATTCGGGCCCATACGAGGTATATATCACAGTTTTACCTTCTTGCTTTTTCAGTGCCATCTCCTGTGCCTCCTGTAGTAACTCTTGAAACACGTGCCTATCTCGGCTTAGTGTTGTGATCGTGATCGTTTCAAAGGGGGCACCAGTTGACAGGTCCATCATTTTACCGTCTCGTTGTCTTTGTACTTGCATCCAGATATGACGATATTTGAAAAAATGTGTGCCTGGTCCAGGTACTAGTCCAAACTTTGTACTGATACTTCCATTATCATGTTGTTTATAACTTGTCTCAACCGCAAGGTGTTGTACTTGTCGTTTGGGCGCATGATGAGACATCCAATGCAAGAACCAAAGATAAGATTTATCTCTTGATGGAATCTCTAATGTCACCAAGAGTCTACGTCGAAGTGCACTCGCACCCACTGTAGCACCTTTTCTTAAAAGTGAAAGGCCAGCCCCTACACCGATCAGACCAAAACCAGCTGAAAAGATCGGGTTGGAAGTGACAGTGCTGAGCAACCCTTGTTTTTCTGGTACACCTTCGACTGCTGTAGTTGTCTGTTCATTGGTTAATGTTTCCAGCATTGACATTTTGTTGAGCACAAAAAATTTATGTAGGGGCTCTCAGGTTGGTTTTTGACTGCAGATTTGCGGACAGTGATTATCGGCAGCCATAAAAGGCGTTAACCAATAGATTTGTAGTATATTTCAAAATCGCTTTTTACCTAAGTCTACAAGGTAAACTAATAGTAGCTATTATGTATTCCCTTTTGAACTAATATTTTTATCTTAATACACATGCTGAAATTAACCGAATAGCTGATAGTGTTTATATTGTTTCTTTGGACTTTGCTGGTCTTTCAACAAGCATTGTTGATTTAAAAGAACTTAGGAGCAGTCCATTTTCAGGCTATACAAAGCTCGGATAATTCCCTGTCGTAGTGCTGTTGATATAGGCGCCGGTTGTCATATTTATTCTATGCACGCTTAATCATATGAGATTACTCTAAATCTATAAGAATGGATAATACCAAGAGACTGACCACAAAGTATTTTCGGAAATAGAAATGGGGCAGAGGCGCGTTCTTTTATCGCCAAGAAAATTGATCAACACAGAGATCAAGGGGTCGTCGTTGATCTCGAAACCATTCAGCAACTTTTGATCGTGTTTCGTCGGTACCACCAACTTCTCACCCACATCGTATCAAGTCGCCACCAGAATATGATATCGCTTTCAAATTGCGACTACCAATCTTTTACGGGAGATCCATTGCCGGCAACAAGAATCGCTGAAACCGTAAACGAGCACACAGTTGCTCAAAAGCAATCGATGTATGCGCACAGTGAACACTCGATAACAGGCCACAAGGTTGATAACAAATTGTTGCTCGTCGACAGACATGGACAGCAAGAAATCAACGTGTGCACCGTCGAAGCAGCAAGAAACAGCGCAGATGATCACAAGCTAACAAATGACCATAACAAACTGCTTCAGGAAGGAAAAGATACCCTTAAACTGCTTAGAAGTATGAACTTCTGTGCTAAAAATCAAGGTCAAGAAGCTTCTGCTTAAGAAGTCGCATAAGTAACGCCGTTTAGCATGGACCATTGCTCATAAAGACTGGACTTGTGATGCTTGGAGACGAATGGTGTTCAGTGATGAGACTAAAATGAACGTTTTTGGCTCTGATGGATGCAAGTACTAGTGGAGTAGACCTAATGACAGCTTGCAACCCATCATCTTGACCTTACTGTCAAGGGAGGAAACAGAAATGTAATGGTATGGGGCTGCATTACCTATAATGGCCCTGGATATGCTTATTGGATTCATGTTGGCACGTAGCAATTTTCTGGCAAAGCCCGCTGTTCCTTGCGTCAGCTGCATCCATTTGCCGCTTTGAAATGATTTTGGCCCCGTATTACGGTTCCATCTTCGAACAAATACTCAATTAATAAAAAAGGTCGTGCGATCCAATTTTTTCGAGAATGGTTTTAATATATTTTCTTCATGACAGGAATGAGATAGCTTATAATGCTGGATGTTTTCCCCATTTCAAAGTTGATATTAACATTACGTTTGCATTGGACAGCAACAACAAAAATAGGAAGTAATAAAAAAAAAATATGAGAGGATATCATGCTTCCAAATGAATGAGAAAGGTACCCACAGCTGCCAATGAAAGTCTCAATTAACCAATTCAATGCCCATTATCTTGCGCTTCTTGTGGGGAAGACTGTGGTTTTGCTCATGATTTCAGTTTTTGACTGACTAATTTTTGCTGTACACGCTGAGAACAGTGTTATCAATGATGTCCTTGACAGTGCCATTATCATAGCTTATGCGAAGAATGAATAATATGGCCTTGGATATGTTGTTTTACGACAATGATTGTAGTTGGAGAAAGAAAAAAAAAAGGAAATACAGACGATGGAGAGGAGTAATGAGGTTAGGTATCTACCTTGATCAGACCTTGCCACAACTTTAGTTGTGTAGCAGTAGTGAGATGATTATTGGTACGAATGGGTATGACAGTTTGGACATACTAAAGTATGATGCACTAATTTTTTCTTGTAAATGAATAATAAAAGAAAACCAATGCCTTCTTTATTACTCTATTCTAGTCATTCCCACTTTATCTAAATTCTCGCCTGAAACAAACTATCCAAGCCATGCCATTCATCCTTCGCATAAGCTATGACGATGGCACTACCAAAGACATCATTCATCTCACAATGGCTAGGTCGCTTTTGCCTTGTTCTTGTAGAATAAAAAAGTTCTTTGGATTGCATTATCCCCAAGAATTTGATGAATCAAGAAATTAAGATTAGTTTTTAAATTAGCAAATATAACAATAAAAGAAATCAGCAGTGTTCTCAGAGCCATCTTTTTTACACTTCATCAGGTAGAACAACGCCACAACACAAGATCTCAAATGTTGATTGTTACAACCACAACAAAATAGCAGACGCTGTCAAGATATAGCAATGTGAGGCAGGTGTCATGTTTCTACGTTTATATCAAAGAAGATTACACCATTTGACATAATATAATCAATATATATATTTTGCATACAAGGCAAAATCACCTTAAATATTAACATAATACTTCGTATTAAGCTCACAACACTGATTCATGGCATATGTAGCTTGTAGCGTAATATAATATAGTTCATTGATTGACAACATGTATTCTTGTATATAAAGGGCCAACTCCCTTTTACCATGAATCTCTTTCTTTTCTCTGTTCATAAAATAATCTCAAAGAACCTTATCTCATCTTGCCGTATTCTTATATTTTCAAGGTAAAAATACTTCATTCTATAATATCGCAGACAGACACGGCCAAGAAATCAACGTGGGCGCCGCCGAAGCAGCAAGAAACAGCGCAGATGATGACAAGCTTATTGATGATTATAGCAAGCTGCTCCGGGAAGGAAAAAGACATCCTTGATCGGCTGCTTGAGACCGTCGTGGAGAAGGACGCCGCAACTGAAGTCAAGGACCTGTTCATCCAGCTGGATGGCATCCAGGACCAGCTTTCCTCCATCTACTTGGATGACGAGGCAAATGTTTACATTGCAATCCCCAAATAACGCCTGCTCTTTCCTACATCGGCTGCTTCTATTCGCCGCTTCGAAGCAACTTTGACTGCTCTGCTGCAACTGCGACACAAGCTTTCCAAATTGATCATGGTCATACAGCATCAGCAGGAGCTACTAGATGAGAGACGGCACTCCATTGGCACCTACGATCCTTGTCCACCCCTTGAAAAAACCCTCATCGTGATACTCTCTCCCGCACGATAATTTCACCCTAGGAAAAGTACCCAAATAGTAAAAAAGGTCATGCGATTCAATTTTTTTCGAGAATGGTTTTAATATGTTTTTTCATGATGCGAAGGAGGTAGTTTGTAATTTTATATATTTTTTCCCTCTAGATTTCAAAGTTAATGCCGATATTACGTTTATATTGGACAGCAATAACAAATATAGAGCGTGAAAAACACGGTGAGACATTATGTTGCTGAATGAATGAAAAAAACGTTCATGGATGCTAATAAAAGTCCTCATTAACCAACCCAGCGTTCATTATCTTGCTCTTGTGAGGAAGATTGTGGTTTTGTTTACGTTGCCGCTTTCCATAGCGTTTACGACAAAAGTTAGCTAGTCGAAAACTAAAATCATAAACAAAATCACAACCTTTACTAGAAGCGGATGCCGGGAAAACGGCTGCGCTGCCATTAATCCGTGTGCAGCAAAAGCATATTTAAAAGGCAAAACCAGATTTAGTAGATCAGGTTTTGTGGCTATGTTTTAAGGTAATGTATGCTGTCGTGAAGAAAGAAACGTCTACTGATTACAGCACAAGATTGATTAGTCTACTACAGCATATATCATGCCCAATCAATCCGTTGCGATCTTTTGCGACAAGCGTCTTTTCTTATCGATAGAAAGAGAGCCAATCGTCCTACACAGTCATGTATTTATCTATATTTTTCTTTTGCATAATTGATATTCTACAAATGTAGGTTTAGGTAAGAGTAGTCTTTTTTCTCTTATCGATGATTCAACAGACATAAAGTAGTCTATTAGGCTTTGTGTGTGAGTATTTGTATACTTATGCAAACAAGAGACAATACGAGGTACAAATGAATATATCAAGCAAGAGCGCGGGGGGTTTACCGATTGTTTTTATCCAATCATAAAAGCGGGATCAAATTTAGCGACTCAAATGGGAAAAAGAAAAGAAAAATGCCGCGAAAGAGGATTGTTTTGATTCTACGCTAATCAATATATCAATCAACGAAGTATTCCACTACCGGAAGTTGGCGACCTTTAGTGTGTTGACTATGCTTTTCATAAAGCAAGCCTAGAACTGGATCAAAATAAGCTGGCCCGGAACGAAACAAAATGAATGAGGTTTTAGCTGTAGACACATAATGTATTGTCTTTACACATCGGGTGTCATCATACTCAATATGTCATATGAAGTGATTGTTATCCTTTAAAGTAACTTATGATGACGATTTTATTATGCAGAAAGGGAACAGCAAACGCGTAAACAAAAAGCAGCGTCTAAAATGATTAGTCAGCCTTTTGTCAGATGTGGAAAAAGAGAAACCTTCTATAAATAGAAATGAATGACAAATCCGAGGCTAATAGCAGACGAACAAAAGCAAAGTAAACTTGTTCAATTAAGGCAGGTATCTATGGTTTTGTCTTTTCTTTTATTTTTCAAAAAAAGTAGCATCCTGTTTATTATATGACATTATAGGTAAACACTATGTTACACCATCCAAAAATTTCTTGTCCTTTTTTACACTATCTTCGATTTTGTATGACAAAAAACATCAAGAAAATTAAAAGAGAGTAAAATATAATTGACGTTCCTGAAAAAAAAAAGCATAGCAACAGCAACATAGCAAATAAAATGATATCCGAAAAATGATTTGTGGCTTTTTTCGGCTAATCCATTATTGCTTAGAAATCACTGGCTGGATTATGCAGAGGCCACAGAAATAAAAAGGGCGACAACGTTGTTTTATAGACAATATTACTAATGGACAAATTTAACTATTTTTTTAATTCTTAAATCTTCTTCTTCTTCTTCTTCTTCTTATTGTACATTTGTATGAAATCATCTTCTAAAAAACGACGTATATTGCCATGCCCTTATACAAAACCACAAGATTCAAAACCCAAATGTAAATTTAAATATGATCAAGCTTGTAACCTGCTGCAGGCTATTGAATTAAGTGGGCGAGAGCTGCTTAGCAAAACATGCCTTGGTAAATATATTTTTATCTTATGATGTTGATAAAAAGCTAATATGTAATTGAAAAAAAAGCTCATTTGGCAATATATGTTTCTAAAACTTGGGAAGATAATTACTGTCCAGAAAGAACACAACAGCTATTTTACATGATGAACAGTTTATTAAATACAACCCGCATTGAGGCCGATGAACCCTTTGAGGTCTTACTTCAGAAATATTGTGCAAGTTCTACATCGATGCCCACCCTGTGTCCCAGTGTGACCTTGCTGGTTGCGATCAGTTATATCGAACGGTTGAACAAGGTTAGAGATTGAATATAAAAGAGAAGAGCAAATGAGTTAACACTATTCAGAAATACCGAAATCTAAAAGGCACCGCAGGTTGTGGATCCCGGATGATTTATGTCGCCTATAACCTTGCAGCAAAATATATCCACGACTGTCTCAGATTAGTCATCTACACTACACAAAAGTATATTGATCGACCCATGACACCCCCTACTTCACCTAAAATACCCCAGAATAACAATAACAATAATGATAATGATAATAATAATAATAATACAACCGTGCATACCGCCACATCCATCTTTCAGAGTTGCATTGAGAATGATGTTGAAAAAAGACAAAAAGTAGCTCGAATGGAAAAAGAATTTCTATGTTTCCTCAACTTTGACCTCTCTGTAGACGATCCTATCGCTCTTATCGAATGGGCACAAAGTTATGATGATGCACCCAAGCAATCAACCATATTTTGTCTTGATGAAAAATATACCTCGGCGGACGAAGGCGATGATGAAATGGATGAAGACGATGATGCGACATTGTAAAAAAAAAAACAAAAAAAAACAAATATTGTATTTATATTATATCCACACATTTTGCTAATAAACCTCCCCCACGTCTATCATTGTTGTCCAAAAGTCTCAATAGCTGTGATGTTGAAACAAAGGCTAAGGATGCGATGGCTACCTGATTTTGGTACCGATTGTATCTTTGTATGCGTCTTGATCTGTAGTTGAGAGAGAGATGATAAGCTTGAAAGGCTGTTCCGAATTGCTTCTCGTTACAAAGCAAAAAGTTCCTCCAATTGTCAAGCTTCAGCTGTCTTTTGGCAATTCCCTTGTACTGAATGCATGTTGCTCTCTTATTAGTCTTGCAGCACTTTTAGGTCTCACACATCTTTGTTAAAGAGACGTTTCTAAAACTCAAGCATTTCTTTTTTGTAATGTTGCTCGTCGTTTTTTAATGTGTTGCAATAGACTTTTATAAATCATATATTCAAAACATCTTTTATGAAACATCTTTGACCGGTTGGGAATTCTCAGGTAAATAAGTGATTTTAATAGCATCTTGATTAAATATACAGTAAGCAATGTTTGTTCATGTTGTATGGAGTAGAAAGAGATATTATCAATTTTAAAACTACGGGCTTTAGAATGGCTGCACGTTGCACACACACACATACACGCACATAAACCTTTTTTTTTCTTTTTCCTTTCTGTGTTTCATATTTTATCCATAATGAAGATTTACACTGCTGCCTTGCTCTCTACTTTAGCATCGGCCGTTCTCGCCTTTGAAAACACGGTACCCTGCCTTATGTGGTCTCCCAAGGAGTAAGCAAAGCAATTATATAGAGTTATAATATAACAAACAGCAACTTTGATAGCTACATTAAACCAGTGACCGAGGCCAGCAATCAGCTTGTCATCTCCAATACCGATGCAACTTTAAGAATTCTTTCTTCTTTATCTTCAGACATTTGCTCTGCCAAAGTCATTGCTTTATTAGACCAACCCGAGGTAATTACTTCTTGTAAAGAGAAGGCCTGTCATGTAAACACACGTTCTCTAGGTTCATAGCAACGATTTTACTCGTTACGATAACAAGCATGCTTTCACTCAACTCAAGGTAAATACAAAACTTGGGCCTTATCACGTATTCACTCTTGTCATTAGGAACACGCTAGTCAAGCTCATTCTCGTTCTGATATTGAGTATGTCACAGGTGGTGTTGATGTTCAAGCAGTAGCTAAAAAGATTGCTACCAAGTGTGATGCTGCCATTGCAACTTTGGATGCTTCCAGTAAATGAAATAGTATATGAAAAGTAGCACACGTTCACTCACAATCGTAACATAGCAATCTCTGTTGATGACTTCCCAGAACAAACTACACCCGTCGTTGCTATTGTACCTCTTCCAAACACTAACAATTTTGAAGGAAATGGTAGGTCTACAACTGAAAAAAGCAAAAAGAGCAGTTTTTCATTTAACTTTCTGTATAGATGCCTTATTAGGACGTTTCTTTCGAGTACTTGAGCAAAAGGTACATGATGACTATGCCATTATCTACACATCTAGCTCTACAAAGGCAAGTCAAAGAGAAAAATAAAAGACATGAAGCTAACTATTCTGTACATATAGGCAGATGAAGCTTTGACTCGTCGTGCCCCTTCTAATACTAACTTACCCATTTTTGCTAAATACCAATTATTTACCCCTGGTATCTTCATGGTCCTTGGTGTTTCTATTCTCTTCTTGTTTATTGCCGGTACAGGCCTTACCTGGTTAATGGGCATTCAAACACCTGTTCGTATGGAAGCAGTCAAACAAAAGAAAAACTAAGAAAGAGAATGAAGAAAAAGAGAGAGAGAAAAAGAGACATTTCTTTTTTTTTTTTATTTACATTCCCCCCTTCTCTTTTACATGTATAAAAAGTCTTTATGTTTCGCTTTTTTCTTTCTTTTTTTTTCTATAATACACTGGATATTTGTTTGTTCTTTTTATGCTTGTTGATTCACAAGCTTTGGTATACTTGTGAGGCTGCTACTATGGTAAAGAGTGACATCAGTAAACTTGGCGACGCTGACAACAGTTGTATCACAGCTGGTGACAGCCAAGCCTGCATACACGTCCTTGGACATGGTGACGGCAATAGAAGCAAAAGGTTCCCATTCTGTCTTTACCCCTAAAAGGTCAATGTGTTGAATATGAGCTTCAAAGAGATCTTCACTTTGACGTGTCAGGCGAAGGCGGTATGGAGGCGTGGCCTTCATGGTCTTGATTATCTTGGTCGGTCCAAAATTGCGGTATCGCACTTGTACAAATACACCATCCGCAGGTGAGATGCCGAGCATAATCAATGGAGAGCCAGAGCCCAGGTGCTCACGGATCATGATGCCAGCCTTGGCACATTTGGCAAACGTCGAATGGGACCGAATGGTACTCTCGAGTGTACCAGAGCCCGAGAAAGGCTGGTACATGAATCGAAAGGCATCACTGGTATCGTCAATGTCAGCACCAGAGCCCCAGAGAGTAAAAGTGGTTGAAGAATCGGCTGAAACAGTTCCAGGGAGTCCAATTCGTATTTCATCACCAACGTCCATAGTTTGCCAGTCTCCTGGTAGGTTTGGATTCGGTGCTGGTCCAGGCAGTGGCTGTCTTGGATCGTTTATTTTAGCTTCCAGAAAAGGTGAGAGTCTTTTGGCAAACAGTTCATGACCAGCATCGTTCAAATACCCCTAAGGATGAAAGTTGAAGCAAAGTTTCTCATTTTTGTGTGGCTCTTGTGTGCGAATATGGGGTCAGCATTTTACCTTTTCATTATATAAACTGGGTCCATGTCGCACCCAACCTGTTGTATCTATAAAGTAGGTATGTAGCTCTCCTTGACGATTGAGCGATACAACTGCTTGCTGTGATGGACGGAACATGTCTCCGAGCGGTTCGGAAAGCACAAAGATGGGCACATCAGGATTCGATAATCTTTGGCGGACTCGAGTGAGAAATGAAGTGAGTGTATCACGGTAATCCGGAGAAGCGTATCCTTTATGCTTATCGTTGGTGCCTAATAATACAACTACCGCGCAAGGCTTTGTTGAAGTATGTTGTTGTTGTTTCATCTGTTGTGGTGGCCACATGTCAAAATACCTTGTAGATAGTCCGTTGATTAAAGTAGCACCTGAGTAAGCTATATGGATGTGATCCATGTCAATCATATCACTTGTTATCCATGCAAAACTGCTTAAAGGGCCACGACTGGTTTCTGTGCCCAAGATGAGATCATGACCAACAAATTCGACTATACCTTTGGATATAAATGGTATAGTTTGGCCTGTATCTTCTATAAGAATAGACTGTAAACTGATGACTTCAGTAGCCACTACGAGCACTTGGTGTTGTTCATTGTCAGGGAAAGGGATTAGGTCTATAGTTGGTGTTGTATTTCCAAAGAATGAGCTTGGACCGTCGTCTATCTGTATAAGTACGTTGGCAGGCTTCGATAGTTGTACTTTGACAGTATATGTGCCTTTGAGGACGACTTTAAAATAAGCGCCTGGCCAACCACTCTGAATGTCATTTGAAGTTGACTGCCATCTTCCAATATATTGAATATTTGGGTCTGTAAAAGGTATTTTTGTGATAGCAAATGCAATATGAAACAATATAAAATACAAGGAAATAGAAAACAACATTTATACACAAAGAGAAAA